CCAGCTTCTCTATCATTTTCTTTTGTTGCATATGCTTTTGGTTTCATATCTTAGAATCCATTTCCCACCCAAAGTCATGAAGATTTACCCTTATGTTTTCTACTAGGAGTTGTGCAGCTTTAGTTCTTAGATTTAGGTCTTTGATCCATCCTGAGTTAATTTTTGTATGTGGTGTGAGGTAGGAATCTCACTTATTTCTGTGGATATCCAGTTGTTGTAGAAACATTCACTGAAAAGACTATTCTTTTCCCCAGTGAATTTTCTTGGCACTCTTATTAAAAATCAGTAGGCTGTAAATATGAGGGTTTATTTCTGGACTCTCAATTCCATCCCATTGATCTTCATGTATAACCTTATGCTACTACAATGCTGTGTTGATCGCTACAGCAGTGTACTAAGCTTTGAATTCAGAAAGTTTTAGTTCTCCAACGTGGTTATTTTAAGAAATTGTTTTGACTATTCTGGATCCCTTGCATTTCAATGTGAATTTTAGGATCAATTTGTTAATTTCTGCAAAGAAGCCAACTGTAACATTCATAGAGTTTACTTTGAAGCTGTAGATCAATTTGGGGAGTACTCCCATCTCAACAGTATTCAACTTTCCCAGCCATGAATGTGAGATCTTCTTTCCATTTTTCCAGGTCTTTAAATGATGTTTTAGACAGTGTACATACCTTGTACTTCTCCTGAATTTATTGCTAGGTATTTAATGCCTTTTGATGGTATTGTCAATGTACCTGTTTTCTTAATTCCATTTTTGGATTTTTCATTGCTAGCGTGTAGAGATTTGTGTGAGTTTTACATGTTGATATTTTGTCCTGCAAACCTGCTGAGCTCCTTTGTAGACTGTTTTTTGTGGATACCTTAGGATTTCTTTTTTATTTGCAAGATCATGTCATTTGTAACTAGAGATAGTTTTACTTCTTTCTTTCTATCTGTAAGCCTTTCCTCTCCCAACCCCACTTCTTATACAGAAGAATGTCATAATAACTTGGGGTTCTGTTTAAAAACCGTCAACCTAATTAGTAATGGTATATAATTAATGGTGGGCCTTAAATCTAAGATTTGAAGATGTATAGGTGATAAAACTGTTAAATATAGCTCATTTTACTTTTCATGCTTCTAAGAGATAGATGCTATTATGATCTCCATTTCACAAATGAGGATCTTGGGGCACAGAATGGCTACCCCAGGTACTGCAGGTGAGCCTGCTGTGAGATGCTGGGGCTGGGGTTCAAACCAGATTATCTGGCTCCAGCTCTTGTCCTCTATTGATCTCTATCTAAGTCATCACACCCAATCCACTGTATTAAATAAGGTACCCCGCCTGTGAAAGCAACCACCATTTTCCCAGAAACCGTATCTTCCTCCTCAGGAGAAGAATAACACTCCCCAAATGGCTTGCGCTCCATTTCTGTAATATACATTTATGTTTTGATGAATAATAGATATCCTGCCTGATCACTGTGAAATTTGACTTTGCCTTTATTGAGGCCATCTCATTCTCAAATTTCCTTGTGAACTAGCGGGTTTGCCTTGTCATGCTTTTGCCATCTTTGGACTATTTAGGGTGTTGCCTTTAAGATGCACCTGACTTTGGACCATTTTCAGACAATCCGCTGGCTTGGGTGGAGCTCTCTGTGCTGGGAGAAGAAAAATATCACGTGCAAGTTGTTGAGTCTTGTAACTTTTTACAGTACATCTCCTGCATAAAAAAACTTTTGCAGCCAGGTGTGGTGACTCACACCTGCAATCCCACCACTTTGGGAGCCAAGGCAGGAGGATTGCTTGAGCTCAGGAGTTCGAGGCCAGTGTGGGCAGCATAGTGAGACACCACTCCTACAAAAAAATTTAAAAAGCTGGGTGTGGTGGTGCACAGCTCTGGTCCCAACTGCTCAGGAGGCTGAAGCAGGAGGATCACTTGAGCCCAGAAGCTGGAGGCTGCAATGAGCCATATTTGTACCCCTGAACTACAGCTGGGGCAGCAGAATGAGACTTTGTATCAAAATGAAAAAAACAATCATTTGCAATTAGACTCCTGAGCATGGAGTGTTTGTTTTAATCAGCACCATCTCAGTATCAAGAGATGACATTTAAATTACTAAATAAAAGCTCTGTAGATTCTCTTTAGAAAGACCACAACTCAATCCTATAATTCCAGGTTTATGTTAACAATGTCTATCATTTTAATGTTTTTCTAAAAAATGATTTTTCTATGGTACTGGGAAAACAAACGAATGTCCCAAACTGAGCCCTGCCAGCAGATATTGCATGTATCTGTTAGGAATTACACTTATCTCCACAAAACAAAAACCTGACTCCAGTGGCTTTACCAAGTAGGGGTTTGTGCCGCTCACATAACAAGGAGTCATGAGGTGGAAAAGCCCAGCCGATGCACCGACTTCATCATCTTCCCGCTCCACCCTCCTTAGTGCGTGGCTGTCATATCCATGGTGACCTCGTGGCTGCAAGAAGGCTGCCACACCTCCAGACTTGCATCTGTTCCAGGTGGGGAAAAGAAGGAAAATCCCAGACGGGAGCTCAAGAAAGAAACTAAACCTTTATGGCATTATCAGTCTCTGTGACCTTTTGAAAACTTTTAAGGCAATCTTCAGGAGCTTCAGAAGGAGTGTAGAAGGCAGGTGATTTTTAGAGGCTTAATGCCAGGTGGTGAGAAACTGCTTAGAGTACAGACAGTGGCAGAACACAGCTCTACAAATTTACTTGGGGAAAATAGAAGGAAATGTCAATATTGACGTCAGGCGCACATGAGCTATCAGATAGGCAGAGAAATCATTCTTCCTCCCTCTTGTTCATTGCACGTAGGCCATGCCCCATAAACGGACCAAGCAGCCTTTCCCCTCAGAGTCTGCAGGGGCTTTCCCTTTTGCCTGAACTATTTCTCCCTGGATGTCAGCGTGGCTCATTCTCCCACTTGCTCTGGATCTCGGTGTGTGCTGGTTACTGACCTATCACCTCTCAGCTCCAAACTCACCCTCTGATGCTCTGCTCAGCATTGCTGGGCCAGTCTCTGCAGAACATGCTTCTCCTCTGCCAACTGGTAATGTTGGGCAGGGGTTAGAGAGAAACCATGAGGTTCAAGAGGGACCTCCTCCTCCCTCTTTGATTGCTGTCTTTGTTGCAGCCACCCCAGCAGCAGCACTGTCCAGCCAGGCACACTTCACCCCAAAATCAGCAGTGGGTCCAGCTCCCAGCATCTTTCGTACTCCCAGAAGCAGCCTCTGATGGAACAAAAATGGGGCTCCTCCTCAGGCTCCTTAGGTTCCTGCATTCACTGAATAGCAACCCCTCTTCAGGGACCTAAGCCATGGCTCCAAGGGCCCCTCCTCTGAGCTTCTACCTGCTGATCACCAACCTCTTCCCCTGCTCCTCCGCCTAGGGTGACAGTGGCTTCTGCGGTTACCATTGCTGAGTTCCTTTCTGTTCCCTTTTGTCAGTGTCAGTCCTCCAACATCCATGTTACCCATTTCCTGTATTGAATCTCCTCTGTTGAAAGACCTGCTGTGACCTCTGTCATAGGACCTGAACCTAGACGGATACACTGCTCCAGTGACACCTCTGTAGAGAGGCCTTCCCTCATTACCTAGTCTAAAGTAACACCCCATTTGTCATTCTTTTTCCCCCTCTGCCGTTTTTTTTTCCATAAAATGTATCTCCACCTCATATACATATGCACATGAACTCCTGTGTACCATAGACTGGGTAGCATAAAAAATAGCAATTTATTTCTCACTGTTCTGGAGGCTGGGAAGTCCAAGATCAAGGCGCTAGCCTCTGCAGTTCCTGCTGAGGGCTCTCTTCCTGGCTTGCAGATGGCTGCCTTCTTACTGTGTCCTCCTTGGTCGAGAGTGGTAGAGCTGGTTCTTTGGTATCTCTTATGATTAGGGCATGAATTCTATTCTGGAGACCCCACTCTCATGACCTCATCTGAACCTAATTACTCCCCCCAAACCTCATTTCCTGACACCACCACATCAGGGGTCAGGGATTCGACATGTGAATTTTGAGGGAAAATGTAATTCAGTCCATAGCAGATTCTCTTTCCCTTTAGTGATTTCTGTTAAATGACACATTCCGTTTTCCTTCCCAGCTTTTTATTTTTATTTTTTATTTTTAGCTGTTGGATTGATTCTCTCAGATGTTCTAACCTCTCTACAAAAGAATCCATCTCAGGGCAAATGACATTTCCCTGCAGATTCAATTAGTTATGCAGGAATGTGGGATCTGACAGCAAGAGTTAGGATAAGGCAATATGCCGGCTGTTCATACCCACATTCTTGATTATTCTGCAGAACAGATTCATTTTGAAGTCCCTTAAAAGCACTAATACATCACAAGGGCATAAATTCTCTATTTCTCATGTATCATATCTTCAAAAAACTGAATCCTTATTAATTTTTTACTTTGTCTTTCTTGATTAAAAAAAAGGATGTTTCTTTTTAATCCTATAGGCGGAACCTAAAGATATGTATTCGGTATTGAAATGGGTTATTCAGTGTCCTATTTGAGCAGCCTTATTTGAAACGATAGGCATTTCATCATTTCAATGTTTCAGGTAGATGGTTGTCTATTAGGCAGTGAGAACACAAAATAGGGCAGAGATCCAACCCTGCCCTCCAAACACTTCCAGTCAGTATCAGTCAAGGTTCTTAATTTCAAGCCACAGAAAGACACTATGGCAAATTTAAACAGAGAAAGGATTTTCTAATTTAAGCAGAAAATGGTTACTGGTAAATCCATAAAGATAGAAAGTAGAATGGTGGTTTGCCAGGGGTTAAGGGAAGGGAGAATGGGGTGATTGTTTAGTGGGAACAGAGTTTCAGTTTTGCCAGTTGGAAAGAGTCCTGGAGACAGATGATGGTGATGGCTGAACAACATTGTGAATAATATATTTAATGCCGCTGAATGACTTCGATGGCAAATTTCACGCTATGTGCATTTTACTGCAATTTAAAATCAAAAGATATTGAACAGCAAGTAGAATTTGTAGGTCAGCGAGACCACGTCTTTGCGGGTTCACATGCGGGAGCGTGAGGCGGGTTCCCACAATGGGAACAGACACTGCCATCTGCCCTGCGGCTGTCCCCACCAGGATGGCCTCTGGAGGCTGATCTGTCACTGGCTCTCAGGATGGATCCTGTGCAATCTCTTTTCTTCTCCGCTAGTGACAGATTTCAAACCTCCAAGGCATGCCTCTGATGGTCGGACCCTGGGTCACCTGCCTGCCAGTAGCTTCGGGAGAATGTGGGGATGTATCTGCCACTGTTGGCATCTCCATATCTCCAGTGGGAGGTAGGCTCTGCTGGATCAGGTGGGACCCCTTGGGACTAAGACAGGGGTGAGAGCAGGTGGCTGTAGCAATGATCAGCACTCTTCACCAAATACTTTCGCCTCCCCTCTTCTTGCCCCTGGTAGGGTGTACTTTCTGCTTCCTTGAGAGCCATAGCAGCCACATGACCTGCTTTGATCAATGAAGTCTAAGTGAAAGTGGCTTGCAAAACATCTGGCAGAAGGCTTCACAACCAGTGCTTGGTTTTCCCGTGTTTTCTCTCTTCCCTTCTGCCTTAGAGACCCTTCCACAATCTAGATGAGGGCTTCTCTGCCAGTTCCTGGAATGGCTGCAGTGAACTCTCAATGAGCTCATAACACAAATAAAGTATAAGTATTTGTTCTTTTAAGGCACAAAGTATAAGTATTTGTTTACCCCAAGTAAACAAATACTTGGGGTTTATTTGTTACTGCAGCCTAACCTAGACCATCCTGACTGATACAGGAGCCCAAAGGAATCACAGTATTGCTGAACAAAGAGTAGAAGCTTCAAGCTGGCTGAAAGACTGTTAGAAATAAGATTTTCCTGGCAAAGAAATGTTAGCTGAGCAATGTATCATTTCTAGTTATTCCACAGGATTGATTTGGTGATCAGTATCAATGGTAGTCGTATCAGTAATAGTGGTAGCCTGTGAAGGACTCTTCCTTTGCAATTTAGAATGCAGAGGATTTTGAAACTGCCAAATTGTGTTTGGTGAGGACAGGCTCATGGTTCCCATGGCACAATCTACCTTACTTTGGTGATAGTGTTTTCAGCCACTTGTTGGGAATGACCTCACTTTTATAGGTCAGCCTTACCTGCTCTTGTGAGCACCCTTCAAATTAGATTAGTGGTTTAGAATTCATTGGGAGGGTCCTGGGAATGTCAGCAGCATTTCCTCATTTACCCTTTGATGTGGGAGCTTTCTGTGCCCTGCAGTCCTTCTCTTAAAAGAGAATTGCAGAAAGAAACAGACAGGTCCACAGAGGGGGCACCTGAATGCCTGGCTGACCGTGGTTGCAGTGAAAGGCAGCCCTCATGGGAACAGGACAGCTCCCTCTTATTTCTCACTGTTCCTGCTTTGAAGGCTAAAATTGGATGAAGGCCAACTTAAGCAAAGACAGTACATCTCTGCAGCTGATCCTCTCAAAGTGGCTGGTGTACAGACCTAAAGGCTGTAGAGAGAAAGCAGTTACATTTTAATAATAACTCCCTGGGTTTTATGTCCTACTTCCATCCTACAGATGAGGAGGCTGAGGCAAAGAGATGTTCATGGATAGGTCAGGAACCTGTGGCCTCATTAGAGCAGAATTTTTGACCCAGGCCATCTCTTTCAGGAATCCGCAAAACACAGTGCCTGCGTGTATTGCAAAAATATTTTTGGTTACACAGATATGGTGGTGTCTCTAGGGGCACCTGTCCTCACAGACAGCACCACTCTCATGGGGGTAATTTTGAATTTGAAGAATAAATTGAATGATGTCTATATAAATTTTTATGTACACTATTGTCACACTAAGCTTGAACTTCTATTTTTCTGTGCACAAATGAATATAATCGGTTGACAAAACCAACCCGGCACAGTGTAACATGCTGTTCATACGAATCATCGGCTAGAGGGGCAGTGTAGCACAGTGGTTAAGTCACATTGCCCGGTTCGAATCCTGGCTCCGCCACAGGGTCCTTCGCCACGTGACCGCGGACGAATAACTTACCCTCTCAGTGCATAATAACATCATCAACCTCACTGCGTTGTCCCAAGAGTTAAATGAGCTAATCTGAGTCTGTGGTCCTTTCGCGGCCTACATCCAACAGCTCTGGAAACCTTACACTTTGCAATACGAAATGAGGCTATTTATAGTGTTATTACGATGACAGAGTGTGAACACACATAATTTCACTACAGAAATACGACTATGTTATTCCAGGACACTACCCAAGTTTCAAAACACATGTGGGCCTAGGGAGTTGGGATAAGAGGTTGAGGAACTATCTGTGTGAAGATACATATAGAAATAGATTTTTAAATGTGCGTGTAAATACACACACACACGCACGCGCACACACACACACACACACAGATTCATGGTAGCCCATTCCAGTTTGTCTTCCATAAGCCTTGCCTACAATCTCATCCACACACTCTTTAAGAGTCAAACTATTATGTTTATTTTGTTCTGCACAGCAGGAGGGGGGATGGGAGGTAGTACTTTATATGATACTGTGGTTTACATGAACATCTGTGTTCTCTAACAGGGATCTTCCAGAGATAACCTCTCAGCACACATGAGTACCGTTCTGGGGTGGATACCTTCAGTACTTGCTGGAAAGTTCTGGCGATGAGTCAGTCTGGCCCAGCCTCTGCTCTAATTATTCTAGGGAGTCAGGCAGGCGTGTGGGCTGGGAGTGCTCTGAAAAACTCTCATCATGAACCAGTTAGACCAGCCCTGCAAGTTTATATCTTGCTTATGCAAAAAATTTATCACTGGGGGAATATACTACCAGCTTTTTCAAAATACGAATTTTAGACTGTCTTGTTGCAAAAAATTGCCACACCTTAGTAGCACTGATAATCAGAAATTCTTAAGTCTGAATATTTTAGGTTATAGTTTTCTCTTGATAATACTAGTAATTACTAGAGAATACTAGTAATACTTGATAATACTAGTAATCACAAATAATCTTTAATGTTACCTTGAAATTCTTAAAGCATATAGTTAAATTTTAGCCAGAACATTATATATATTCATATATGTGTGTGCATATATATAAACATATAGTACATGTAATCTATATTATATAGGCTATGTAAATTGCATATATAATTAAATGTTTAAAATGAAAGAGGAAGTTTTAACTATATATCACTTTTATAAAAAATTAACTGATTCACAAAAGTACAAGCAAGCAAAGGCCACGCAAACTGTCCTCCGTGACTTCCCTGAGGGCCACGCAAACTGTCCTCCGTGCCTTCCCTGAGGGC